ACCATATAGTGAACTGATTTCCACTATCAGATATCTCACAGGGAAAAGCATGCAATCTATATATCTCTCTAATTACATTTCTGTTGTGTCTTCAACTGTAGGAATGACAATAAATGGGCAAAAAAATTACCATAATAATTAGACAATCTACTATTACCAGGACACTTGTAACTTTCTTTTATGGTGATAGGTCAACAAAAAACCCATAGAAATAGATCACCTTGGGCACAGTGAAAGGTTGTTGTAGACTAATAGCAAGTGTGGTACCTTATTTTGTGCACAGCTTTCACATGAGAGGACATAATCTTGTAAATGATTGGTGGACTTAAATAGCTGGCCAACCACCGTAATTAGCCACATAATCAGATACTGGTGAGAGTGACTGTTACTGCAATTGAGTTCTGATGAGCTATTGCAGGTCCATTCATTAAGCAAAGGTTTCCGTGGCAGAACAAAAGTCATGCTTCAACCTGTGGGATACCTGAGTTGAAGACCTTTCAGACTCAGGTCTGATATGTAGGTTTATTCATGAAAAGTGGCAGGGGGTTCAAGGGTTTATTTCAAAATGTAAAGGTAAACATTTTTCTTTAGTTTGGATGAAGCAGTAAAGGGTTAGATTCTCTATTTGCACTGGTGACCATTGTCACTGAGACAGAAAAAGTGGGGAAATTCAAACTTCTTGTCATTGGAACAAGGGGTAGAGGGACATTTTCCAAAGGGGCACATACCTATTCGACAACTGTCTAAAAAGAGAATTCTCCCCCCAAAAAGTGTTGGCTATACATATCATATACCTTAACCCTCATTCAAAGAAATGGGTGACAGTTTTTACAAACTTTAGGTTTCACTATCCAAAAGCGCATCCTCTCACCTTCTGGCTTGCTTACATGTTGCATATCATCTGCTCAGGTATAATGAGCCAGGCATGAAGACTACATTTTCCAGAATTAGCCCTGTCATTGCTTTCTTCTAAGGATAGACATGAGGATACTCACAAGTCACTTTTTCAGAACTTAGTCCTCTGATTCAACTGTTTTACCCTTCATCCTACATCTGAGGATACACTTTCTATCTTTGGCTTGACTATGTCCCTGAAAATTGTTCAATGCTGCATTTTTTTTCTTCAGATAGCTTGGTGGGAGAGCAGTGGAAAAGAATGGTTGCATAGTGAATGACAAATTAGTAATGTCACAAGCCATCCATAAAATGCTAGAGGTCTCAAAGGATGTTCTTAAAGACAACAATTAATGTTCCTTAACCCCCCTGGCGGTATGATTATTTCCGATTTTTGGTGCTGAAAGCGGTACCATTATTTTGCATGGAAATATGTAGTTTTTTTTTATTGTAGGCTGTAATATTTAGGAATAACTCACTGAAATCTGTCTGAAAAAGAGTCTATTAAACATCCCGGGGATGATAAAATTTTAAACACAAAATCATAAATTATAATTTAATAAATAATCATAAAAAATAATAATATAATATTAATACATTTAATTCAATAATATAATCAAACCAAAAACACTGAAATTTGAAATATAGCGCCAAGTTCGCACATTGCTGAGCAAAGTCGCAGAATCATTTTCAGTGTCTGATGACGAATTTCCCCACAAATCATTATCACTCAATTCTGCAAGTGGTTCTGATTTACTATCGCTGTTCTCTAGCTGATCATTGATGACAATTCATGAATGAGTTAGGTTCATGACAGCAAGCTTTGCATTGCAGGATAAATTATCTGTATTTCTCCTGCAAAGCAAAGTGTAAAAAAGACATAATTTTGTGTCACTTCCTACTTTGGTGTGTGAAGGCACCTGAGCCCCCCACTGCCCCCCTACCCGTCGGTTAAGGGCGAGAAGAGAGAACATGGCACTGAGTAAAAGCACTACATTTTACACACACATGTTAGATTAGCACATTTAACCCTTTGATCGCATCGTCACCCAGTCAGTGCCATTAGTACAGTGCCAGTATATAGAATTTTTTACTGATTACTGTATTACTGCCACTAGCGACATCAGATAGTGTCAGGGTCAGTAAGTGTCCCTCCCAGCCAGGGTCAGCTAGTGTTAGATTGCCCGCACACTATCGAACTCACGCCATAGGCCGCTGATCACCGCCATTACTAGTATATTGTTTGTACGGATCAAGATATTGATCACGAACAGAACTGTACTAGTACCTTCTTTGTATAGTGTCCCCAAAAATGCAGTGTTAGCGGGATCAGCCCTGTTTTCTGCCAACTTTTTTCCAGTCGGGGCATCCATGAAAAATATTTTCAGTTACGAGGCACCCCTGTCCAAGGCTTGGTTCGCGTTACTGTGTGTCGTGGAACACACGCGAAACCGCGCTCATTCCTGACACGCAGACAAATGCTCTGCTCTTTAGGGGTGCCCCATACATTGGTAAATGTGGGTTGTTTTTTCATGTGGTGCAATTTTCAAACTAAGGTCAGGACAACGTTCCCGGCATTTCTGTGGGTAAGGCAGCCCATTGAAATGAATGGGCTGCCCTACATACAGCCACACAGATGTGAACCAAAGACCTTTTCACCTGTGAGGTTGGAGGGAGGTAAAACCACGCAATTGAGCTGCTTTTACCACCCCCAACTGCTCCCCCTTTAGCTGCAGAAACAGCAGCTGGGGGTATACACATGCTTTTGCCGCAGCTGGAAGTATACCTCCAGGTGAATGGAGTTGAAACTACAACCACCCCGCAACTGTGTGCTCATTGCACACAGTTGTGGTGTGGTGATTCCTGCTGGGGTTAAACCAGGTGGGTGAGGAGGCAACATATTGCCTCTTTACCACCTGTCAAATGCCTCTGAAAAGCGATATTAGCATGGATTGCTTTTCAGAGGAGCAGTAGTTCTTGCTGCTATTACGAACAAGTCCTAAAAAAGCAGTTCTGAAAGGACAGGAATAGGGGGTCGAGATTTAAAGTAAAATACATATACACACATATAAAAACAAACACACATATACACACACGTACACACACACACACACGTACGTACACACATACACATGTACACACATATACACAGACACATATGCACACACATACACATCCATGTACACACATACACACACAAACATGTACACACATGTACACACATACTCACTCATACATACACACAGGCACATGTACACAGCATTATGAAAAGTGACAGTACCTTCGTTTCCATCACACAGCCGGGTACTGCACTCTAGGGGGAAGCAGAGATCACAGAAGACACTCCCCTTTCCTTTGCTTTCACTTTGCTCAGTGGTCTGACGGCTCCCATTGCCAACGTACATTCTCCCCATGGCACCCCTGAAGACCTCTGGCGGCACCCCGATTGAGAAAGTCTAGTTTCGCCCTCCACTGTTTTTCATGATAGATTTGTATCAATTGATTGTGGGCCAAAGCAATTTATACGCACAACAATAAATACCCCCACCCACCCAAATTCAGCTCTTGCCAGACAGTTCTCATGGAAACCTATCACAGTTTCTGAATTTTAAATTTTTTTTTTGGCCTAACCCGACCTGGACATTACAAAAAAGAATGAATTGCGGTCATATTGGTCCAAACAGCTAATTCATCATATTTCTCTGCTGTTACATATATGCCCAACATGGACCAGCAAAGTATTGGTACGTCGCTGGACTTTGAGTGGTTATACCAGAATGATGCCTACAGCTACAGGCATCATTCTGGTACCATTTTTTTCAGCTGGTGGTTGGCTTTTATGTAAAAACAATCCTAGTGGCCAATTAGCTGCTTACTTGTTTTTACGAGCATCCCCCCCCCCCCCCCCCCCCCCCCCCCTCTGCAGCCTTCCACCGTTTTCTTGGGCTCTCTGTCCCACAGGGGAATCAGAGAATGCAGCAAGCAGTTCCGCTGGCTGACCAAAGAGCTGACCAGAGACCAGAATGGCTCCTGATCATCTCTATAGTCTAATAAATTGGAAGCTACATGCATTTCATCACTTCAGTTTTGCAGAATATAAACAGCACCATTAGTAAATTGGGAAAGCATCCGATCACACCAATCTTGGTTTGATTAGATAATGTAAGGGCAGAGGAGATATCTAGAGTCTGATAGACCCCAGATTTCTCAAAAAAAATATATGACAATGCCCATTGAAGTTATAGGGGATATTTGCATTCCCTGTGATAGCATTAAAAGCGATAAAAAAAAATGAAAGGGACAGTGTAAAAGTAATTTAAAAAATCAAAAAGAACTTTTAAAAAAGCACCCTTTGTCCCCCTGCGCATGCGCACCTGTGTGAGCAAGCGTTGACCCTGTGTCGGTATGTAAACAGCAGTTGCACCATGCGTGTGAGATATCGCCATGAACATCAGATCGAGGGCAGTAATTCTAGCACTAGACCTCCTGTGTAAATATAAATTGGTGACCTGTAAAGGCTTTTAAATTTTTGCCTATTGATAATAAACATGTATGTACTTTGTTGCCATTGCACGGGCATGCACAATTTTAAACCATGCCATGTTTGGTATCTATTTACTCAGCGTAACATCATCTTTTATATCTTATCCAAAAATTGGGCAATATATTGTGTTTCTGTGCATTAAAATTCTAAAAAGTGTATTTTTCCCATAAGATTTACGTTTGAAAAATTGCTGCGCAAATTCTGTGTGACGTAAACAATTTAAACACCACCGTTTTATCCTCTAGGGCCTCTGATAAAAAAATATATATATATATATTGTTTGGGGGTTCAAAGTAATTTTCTAGCAAAAAAACAAAATGTATCAGAAAAGGCTTGGTCTTCAAGAGTGGGTGATGTGTGGCATAAGCTTCTAATGCTGTCCGTGAAATGCCAGGATAGTAGAAGCAACCCCCCAAATGACCCATTTTGGAAAGTAGACACTCCAAGGTATTTGCTAAGAGGAATGGTGAGTGTTTTGCAGATCTTATTTGTTGCCACATTTTTGGAAAACGAAGACAGAAAACAAAAAATGTATTTATTCTTTCCTTTTTTTCTTTTTCAAAGCCCTGTGACAAAAATGATGTCTGTAAAATACTCACCATGCATCTTATCAAATTCATTGGGGTGTCTACTTTCCAAAAAGGGGTTCTTTGGGGGGGGTGTGTTTGTACTATCCTGGCATTTTAGAGCCTCCGAAACTGTGATAGGTAGTGGTGAACAGGGGCGGACTGACATCTAATGGGGCCCCCGGGCAATAGGGGATCATGGGGCCCCTGTGTCCTTGCCCAAACTCAAAAAAGCCTATGAAAAAGGTACCAGGGGCAACTCATGGGGCCCCCTACTGACCCCGGGCCCTCGGGCAGTGCCCGAGTTTCCAAATAGTCAGTCCGCCCCTGGTGGTGAAGTGATATGAGGAAATATGCCCTTTTAAAGCCTGAAGGTGGTCATTGAATTTTGGGGGCTTGTATCTAGCTAGGCTGACAAAAAGTCTCACACATGTGGTATCGTCATACTTGGAAGAAGTAGGATAATGGTGTTTGGGGTGTTATTCCCCATATACCCATGGCATGTATGAGCAATATATCATTAAAGTGACAACTTTGTGTGAAAAAAAAAATTTAAAAAAATTGTCATATTCAAAACATTTGTGGTAAAACATAAAATTTTCCATGGACTCAACATACCTCTATGCAAAATCCTTGGGGTGTCTACTTTACAAAAAAGGTAATTTGGGGGGGTTGTACTGCCTCTCAAAAAATGTGATAGGCAGTCAGAAAGTAAAAGCTAAGTAAATTTCAATATATATATATACCATAGTTTTTAGATGCTATAACTTTCACGCAAACCAATTAATATACATGTATTGAGATTTTTTTTAACAAAGACATGTAGCAGAATACATTTTAGCCTAATGTATGAATAACTTTGAGTTTATTTAATATTTTTTATAATATAGTTTTTTCAAAATTTTCGGTCTTTTTTGTTTATAGCGCAAAAAATAAAAACTGAAGAGGTAATCAAATACCACCAAAAGAAAGCTCTATTTGTGTGAAAAATAAATTTCATTTGGGTACAGCATTGCACCACGTGCAATTACTAGTTGAAATGGCGCAGTGCCAAAAAGCAAAAAATGGCATTGTCAGGAAGGGGGGTAAATCCACTGGAGGACAAGTGGTTAAGAAAAAAATAATGTCCCTTAAATGTAATTGATCATGTTTCCTTTTTCTTTATGGTAACGGCATGTACTATACTATATAGTAGTAATTTGGGCACATTTTCTTAAAACCAATTCTGTGTGAGCCTAAATAATCCTTTAACCAGTTTTTAATTTCGTTGTGCAGTAAATGAATTCTTAGCTGTGGTTTCTGGACTAGATAAGTTTCTGTTTGATGTGGATAAACCTATTGGTTCAATGAAATTTTGCATAAAGGAAAATATTAAAATTTCAATAGAAAAGATGAGACTTACAGCATGTTTCTATTTGTGGAAAATGTGCTAGTTTTAAATTCTTCTGCTTTCAGAATATACTCAAAGATATAAGTTTGAGCTCTCTTTGTCATTGAAATTACAGATGAAAAACATTAGCATTATAAAGACATCACTCCAGGAGTGTTATTTGTTTTTTTCCCTAAAATTAGAAGTATGTCTTATTTTTCAAAATTGTTCCATTGCCAAAAGCTGATTAGACAGACCATAATTATGAATAGTGATGATCCAATCAATCTGAAAAATTATGACTATTACTGTGAAATTAGAAATTTATGTAAAGTGAGAAAACAATGCACATTGTTAAATGTTCAATAATGATTAAATTCACAGGCATAGACAGCAATGAAAATCTTATGCTAAATAAGGGTATAGCATTATTTTTCACATCCATAACCTTGTTTCAAAATTGCTATGTTAGTATGCATACTTTTGAAAAATACTATTTATTCAGATAGCTAGAAAATAACATGTTTATCTTTACATTTTTCACAAATATATAAGCTGGAAATTACTAAGAAAAGATTACCAGCTGTGCCTTATTTTGACTATCATCATGGTGTCCCATTCTTCAATATCCTTAAGCCACAATCCACAAATAATGAAAAACATCAGCTGCAGAGTCTGCACATGAATCCTATAGGATATTTCAATGATTAAAGAATAATTGTACTTTTAGACAAAATACAGGTATCCTTTATCTCTAGCTTCCCTTGGAAAAAAAATCAATAACACATACACAGATCCATACTTATCCTAATATCACTACCATGGTCACCTCAATCTTTCAGCTCCTGGCAGCAAAGACCTTAGCACCAGCCTGTGAACTTGCTTCCCGTAGACTTCTTTAGGTCTGCCTTCTCAATTGACATCTATATACATCTATGGGAAGTGATTAGGGATGAGGATTTTGATTGCTTAACAGCTTTCAGGAAGCCACTTTTACCAAATGTCTTATTTGCACCATATAAAAGTCAATGTGTTGCAGATAAGCAACATAGTGAAATGGTTTTGTACCATGAAATTCATGCATAGTATGCTGACTATGAAGATATACATTAATTCAATCAAAACAAAGGCAATTCTTCAGTAATAACTATTGCTATTATATTAATCAAAATTCAGATACTTGCTCATTGAAATACTTTTTTATTTAGTAATAATCATAACAAATAATAATATACAGAGCAATTAAAAATGCTTTAAAAAGCGTTCAACTATCAAGAGCCATACCTAATCACATAACATGAGGGTTATCACATTCAAATTCAGTCGGAAAATAAAGAGGTGATCAGGGGCGGACTGACCATTTGGAAGCTCGGGCACTGCCCGAGGGCCCGGGGTCAGTAGGGGGCCCCATGAGATGCCCCTGGTACCTTTTTCATAGGCTTTTTTGAGTTTGGGCAAGGGCACAGGGGCCCCATGATCCCCTATTGCCCGGGGGCCCCATGAGTTGTCAGTCTGCCCCTGGAGGTGATCATATATTTATAATCTGATGCATTAATTCATGTATTTTCATTTTGGGTGACTAATTGTTATTAATGGTTTGCATTGAAGTCCTAGACAAAATAATAAAGAACACCTAGACTGTTGCTGAGTAAGCCAAGAGAGGAAAACTAGAGAACCTAGAGCTCAAAAAAACTAACATTATTAATCTTTGGAGCAAAGGGCTGTGCATGAAGATATGGCAGAAATACAAGGTAAGCATGACCTTGACGTAGACATGTAGATATACTACAGTTAGCCACAAAGAAAAAGAGGACCAAACTGCGCAAAATAGTACTGTAAGATAATAGTGTAACAGTCTGCTAGAGTGTTGAAAATTTGGACAAAATATAAAAAAAAGTTGTTCCCCTGCTGAAAAAAACATTTTGTAATGACAGAGGTTGCTGCTCTTAAATTCTCCTAAAAATCTACAGTAAGTACACAGAATATATCGTGGGGCAGTTTTACATTATTAAATCTAGAAATAAAATATACAATAATTCTTAATGGTAATCTTGTACAATTAAAAGTAAAATGAAGGAATTCCCACTTGTATGCTAGCATTATGTACAGTATATACAAAAAGAATGAACCAGCTGTGGCAGCTGTAAACAGGTATACTCTATTATTTCTTCACCTGCACCTGTACAGATCAAGTAGGTCTATATGAATTTCCATCAACAGAAGATAAAGAATCATCCTCTTACTGCTTTGGCTAATTTAACCACTTCAAGATCAGACTGTTTCATCTTGTCTTGCCCAGGCCATTTTTAAAATTTTAGCGCTGTTACAGTTTGAGAATTACTAAGTAAAGCAACACTGTTCCCAAATTAATTTTATATAATTTTTAGAGACAGAGGTTTTTTTGTGGCATTTAATCACCACTGAGTTTTAATTTTTTTGATATATAAAGGGAAAAAGACCAAAAATTCAGAAAAAAAACGTTTTCCTAGTTTTTGTTAGAAAATTTTGAAAACATAAATTAACTGTCTTCATACATTTAGGCCAAATGTAATCTGCTACATATCTTTGGTATAAAAAAAAACAAATCAGTGTATGTTATTTAATCTGTGTGAAAATTATAGAGTCTAAAATCTATGGTATATATTTTAAAAATGAATCAATCCTGATGTGCTTACTGCCTATCTAATTTCTTGAGGCCCTAAAATGTCAGGACAGTACAAATTAAATGAACAACTACCATTGCCTTTTAAGCTGCCTAGGCAGTGGCCTGGGGTATACACATACCATGGATGCACTGTTTTGCTTTGTATCTGTGGTAATTGTTATATCCCCTGTACCCCGTTGATTGCTACCCAATCAAGTGAATGGGGGTGCTTGTGCTGCAGGTGGTGAACAGTCAATGGAACATAGAACTGTCAGGTACTTTTTCCAAATGATTAATGTGCCAGCTGTAGCCGGAAATACTAATCATTGTGTTCTGCAGGTAGGGAAGGCTCCCTGCCAGCAGAACATAGTAATGTTGCAGGAGAGATTCCCCTATCAACACTGACTGTGTTGATGGTGAAATCGAGCAATTTTCTTTCCTTCCACCCATGGTAGAAGGTAACAAAAATACATAATCTATGGCCTTCCTTACTGTACTATACTAGCCTGCTAAAAAAACTTCCCCTGTTCTGCCTTTAGCATTCCAAATGCAAAATGTCTCAACTAAACTTACTGATGATTGTTAATGGTTTCAAAACTCTATTTCTATGTATAACTGTAATTATATGTGTATGTATGGACAGTCATATTTTCTCATTCTCACATGAAGGTTCTGCTTAGAAGCTAACCTTAAAGGATAAGTTCATCTTTTTACAAAAAAATAATAAATGCACATTTTTTTGCAGGTAAAAACAATATTAATTTATTATTTTTTGTTGCAGGAGCCTGTAAAGCATTGCACCAACGATCAGCAGATCACTGGCTCCATGCAGGCCTCCTACAGACCTGAGGAAGTCACGAGGTCACGTGACGCAACGCGTCGACGGCAATACGTGGTGACGCACTTCCGGCGTGGCGCCATCTTGGAACACCCTTCAGCCACACGCTTACACCCATGGTATGGGAATCAGCTGTAATTTCATCTGGCGAATGTGAGTGTATACAAGCATTTTATTCTACACAATTAAAGCGATTTTACACTATGGAGGATGTCTTCTGCTTCCTTTGTCCTATTGGGGTTTGAGCTGGGATCCACCCTGCTCAGTTGACCTCTGAGGATATCACAGGAGAGGTGGAAGCAGTATACTGGGGATACACCATTGAAGCCATCCACTCAAGAGGAAGCTTATCCTGATTCAGTGGGGATTTATAAAGCTCTGTGGCCCTGCAGGGTCGCAGGGAGGAGGTGAGAGGCCATTCCAGCTGGTTTTGGATTGCACTTGGTGGTGTGCGGGTCCACACACAGTCCATGGATTCTGTATGAGTGGTGGAAATTGATACGGATCACTGGACTTTTTTAAGTTATGTGCACTGTGTGCAGGGGTTGCACATCTGTTTCATCTCATTTTTTTCAGTTTCATCACGCACTAATTTGCCCTCTCTATATATGTATATGATCTTTTTATGATCTTAGATTGTTTATGGGCCTAATATGATCCTTTTGGGTTTAGCGCTACATCACTTCTAGTTTTCTATATTTCATTGGATCTTTGGGTAATGGATCAGATGTTAGCAGCTTCACACGTTTATTTATTGTTTTTTCTGCATAATAGCGCAAGCAGATTTTGCATATTATTTTGTCCTCCTACAGACCTGTCACTATATCTGCTTGCTCATACGGGATGTACAGGCAAGCAGATATACTGACAGGAAGAATCAATTAACTACCATGGCACTCCATGGCACTGTGGTAGCTCATTGAGAACTACAAGCCGATAGCCACTACGGCTGTCGGGACCTGAAGCTGATTCATTTTCAGAACTCTGTGAATGAATGACGCAGCTGTGTGGGTGAAGCCCTACGCGACTGCACTGTTTTAAAAAGTGACAGCTTGTATGGGGAACATCTCCTCTTACTGCTCTCACAAGAAGGGGGTGGGGGAATCGGGCAGCAGCGGCTGCAGCATTGGGAATTTGCTACATATTCCACCCTAAATGGGTGGAATATGTAGCATGTTCCCAAAGGGGAACTTATCCTTTAACTGTGTACAGTGGTTATGGTTTACAGATCTTTTTCACAATGCAAGTCTACAAAGTTGATTTACAACCATAGTAGAGATGCAATCATGTATATATATTTTTTTGAAATTACTTGTAAATGACTGACTATTCACTAGGCTGAATGAACATTCTGAACCCCTATGTTTAATTAAACAAAAAATAAAATTATTCAAAAAACTCAGGCACTTTTTAAAAAATTGACACTGTCACATTGAGGGATGGGGACTGCTGCAACAGTAACATGTTAAAAAGGTGAACTTATCCTTTTACTGCCCTAACTATGATTGGCTGTTTTTAAATTACCCAAAATGCCCACAATGTGATTGGTAATGAAGCAAAGCTAACACAGCTTTACTTAAATTACTAAACTAAGTCATCAGGCATTTGCTAAGTAATTGTTTCTACACCTTTGGAAAACTTACCCAGAATTGTATGTAGATAAGTTCATACATGATTAGACCCATACATATAGTAAACTTTAACAATAGAATTTATGTTACAAATAAGGGCATAAAGTTTATTAAAGCTTAGGAGATATTTATTATTTGGAAAGGCACACACCTCTCTATAAAATACCTAACAGCTGGCAATGCATACTGTATCAGAGCAAAAGCCATGAGGTCAAAGAAGCTGCCTGCAGAGCTCAGAGACAAGATTATTGCAAGGCATGGATCTGGGGAAGGCAACAAAAATGTTCTGCTGCATTGAAGGTTCCCAAGAGCACAGTGGCCTCCATAATTCTCAAATGGAAGAAGTTTTGCACAACCAGAACTCTTCCAAGAGCTGGTTGCCCAACCAAACTAAGCAATCAGGAGGAGAAGGGCCTTAGTAAGTGAGGTGACCAAGAACCCAATGGTAACTCTGACTGAGTTCCAGAGATCCTTTGTGGAGATGGGACAAAGTTCCAGAAGGACAGCCATCACTGTTGCCCTCCACTGATTTGGGCCTTATGACAGAGCAGATAGATGGTGGACTCTCCTAAGTGCAAACCACATTAAAATCACCTAAAGGAATCTTGTGAGGAGCAAGATTCTCTGGTCTGATGAAACTAAGATTGAACTGTTTGGCCTCAATTATCATAATTATTATTATATTAATTTGTCATTATGGGGTACTGAGTGAAGTTTAATGAGGGGAAAAAATATCTTAAACAACTGTAGTATCCAGGCTGCAACATAACATAGCATTGAAAAAAGTGAGTGAAAGGGGTCTGAATATTTTAGGACTGCACTGAATATATATGTATATATATAATTTATTTTTATTTATTTATTATCTTTTATTTTTCTTATCATGTCTGCTTTTTTATGGTTTTTTTAAATTGCTGACATTGTGGTGTATTTTTTTTTCTGATAGTGTCTGAATAAAAGGTAAATAATGGATTGAATATTTGAATCTTCTGAACTTGCAACCAGAGGTTAAGATGTTGAGCAAATAAAACTCTCCTGTGGTATAAAGACTTTAGCAAGATTACGTTTATGTCATGTCATTCAGTAGGAAAAGATTAGAATTAATCAAGGTACTTTTATTTATAGATGTAAAATATGTGTGCCTTTCTTACCTTAAGATATTTTTTTTCCAATTTTTATATATACTCATCCTGTACTTTACCTTTGTCATCTTAATTGGATAACATGCTCCTTTGTGTAGAATGGATTACTTTATATTACAGCAAAAAGCACTGCAACAATACAACAGCCTATTAAACATGAAGATGAATTTTTGAATTTCAAGCAAATGAATTACTTTGCACAATAAATCGTGAAATGCAGTCTTGGGGCTCTGGTATTATTTAGCATTTTTCATCTTAAATTTCCTGTCATTGCAGA